CCTCCTTGTGCAGCCCAGCGTTCCAGATAATCTGTTCTGCATACAGATTGAAAAGGCATGGAGACATAATCCATCCCTGGTGGACATCCTTCCTGATTTTGAACCATGCAGTGTTTCTATGCTCTGTTCTGACGACTGCCTTTTGGTTCAAATATAGGTTTCACATAAGCACAATCAACTGTTCTGGGATTCCCATTCTTCTCAGTCAGCCACAGTTTGTTGTGATCCACACAGTCAAAACCCTTTGCATAGTCAATAAAATACTGATAAACATTCCTCTGGTACTCTCTGCTTTCTTCCAAGATCCATCTAACATTAGCTATAATATCCCTAGTACCAGAGCCTCCTCTAAATTCAGCCTGAACATCTGGCAGTTCTCTGTTGATATGTTGCTCCAGTTGTTTGCTATGTGATATTAATATTGTTTGATAATTTCTGCACTTTGATATATTCATCTTCCTAACTTTCTGTGTCCAAATTGTGTTTCTGAAACTTCTTTGTCACTTTTTTTTATTTCAGAAATAGCTCTTTGATTTGGTCATGAAACTCTTTACCTATTAGACCATCAGAGTCCCCAAAACTCTGAATTGGAAAGGAAATCTTCTGGTTAAATATCATCATTTTCTTTAGCTGCTTAGGAAACAAACTGTAGCTGTGTACTATCAAGTCAGAACCCACGCAAGCTGACCCTGCAGCAGATTTTTGGAGGCAGTAGATCCTACAAAAGGAGATAGCCCATCTTTCTCTTGCAAAGCATCTTGTGGATTTGAAAAGGATGCCTTTAGGTGATGCATCTCCTTACCATTAAGCCATCAGAATTGCTTAAACAAATAGTACTAATTCTAAAATATAGATGAAAAATAAAAGAAATCTTTCTAAAGGGAGCTTATTGACTTAAGTGTGTAAGAGGAAATAGACACAAAAGGTTTGATTTTCTTCTTCAGTTCTTTCAGCTTAAGAAATGCAGAGTTAGGCCCTTTTATTTTCTGACTCCAGCTCTTTGCACATTTGATTATAATACTTTGCTTTGTCTTCCCATGCTGTCCTTTGAAATCTGTTCAACTCCTTAATTTCTTTACTTATTCACTCATCTCAGCAATATTCAGAGTCTCATCTGGCATCTATCTTGGTCTTTTCTTCCTCTTCTGTCTTTGTAATGACCTTTTGCATTTTTTCTGGATGATATTCTTATATCCTCCCACAGTTCATCTGGTCTTCTTCACCCATTAGTATTCAAGGCCTCAAATCTCTTCCTGAGATGAGTTTGAAATTCAAGTGGGATAGACTCAAGGTCAAATTTTGGTTTCCAAGGATTGAAACTTATTTTTTAAATTATTATTAAATTTTAATTTACAAAGTTTGAATACATTGTTTTCACATAGGAACTTCCCCATTTCCTTTACACACATCCCCCATTAACTTGTACACCCTACGATTAATATCCATCCACACCAGTATTCACCCCTCTGCTTCTACCTTCTCCCCACCCCCAATCCTCATACACATTCTACAATAATAGTTTTATACAGTATTTGTCCTTATGGGACTGATTTAGTTCACTCAGCATAATGTTCTCCAGTCCCTCTTAAGCTAGGTAGTAATTTACAAAATCATTGCTTCTGTGTGCTGCATAGTATTTAATTGTGTGAATGTGCCATAATTTCTCAATCCATTTGATTGTTCTTGGACAACTGGGCTGTTTCCATGTTCTTACAATGGTGAAGAATGCTGCTTTGAACATTGGTGTATGAGTCTCTGGAATAGCTGGGCTTTATGGAGTGGAATTTCCATGTTCAGCTTTTTGAGGAAGTGCCAAACTGCCTTCCAGAATGGTTGTACAATTTTACAATTCTATCAACAATGTCTAGGAGTTCCAATCTCACTTCTTCCTCTCCAACATTTATTACTTGATTTCCTGTTGAACTTTTCCACTGCTACCAGAGTGAGATGGTATCTAATTGTGGTTTTGATTTTTATCTCTTTTATTGTCAGTGATTTGGAGCATTTCTTCAAGTCTATTGACCATTCAAATATGTTATTCTGTGAAAATTTTTTCCATGTCTTTTGCCCATTTTGTAATTGGGTTTTAAGTCTTTTTCTTGTGAAGGCCCAGAAATATTCTGTAAACCTACATTATGAGTTTCTTGTCTGTGATGGTATTACCAAATGTTTGTTCCCAGTTGGTAGATCTTCTTTATCTCACACCATGCACAAAAATCACTGTAAGGTGGATCAGAGACTTGAGAGTAAAGCCCAAACCCATAAAGTTCATAAGAGACAAACTGAGATCAAGCTTAGAATGCCTAGTGTATGATATAAAAAGATTGACAAATACAGCCAAAAATGCACAATCTGAAGAAGATAAAATTGATGCATGGAATTTTCTAAAGTTTAAATCCCTGATTTAAACTTCTTTAGCTTCAGCTTGAATTTGTGTATGAGTAGTTGGTGGTCTATTCCATAATCAGTACCTGACCTAGTTTTCACAGCTTCTCCAGTGATTCTTTCCACATGTAATAGACCTAATTCCTATGTGTATCGTTAGGAGAAATCCATATGTATAGTCTCCGTTTATGTCTTTTATAGAAAGTATTTGTAATGAATAGATTATTGATTTATCCTATATTCTATTTCCAGCCACATTTCTCTCATCAAGTCAATGTTTTCTGACTGCTGATCCTTCTTTCCTGTTCACAACTTTTGCATTCCAGTCAGCCATTATTATTAATGCATCTTGATTGCATGTTAGATCAACCTCCAACTGCAAAAGTTGATAGAAATCTTCTATTTCCTCCTTTTTGGCTCAATTGTTGGTAGATATATTTGAACAATAGTGCTATTCACTGGATTTATTTATGTGTATGGATATTGATGAGGAATGTGGCATCAGGTTTGGAAGAAGACTTATCAACAGCCTGTATTATGCAGATGATACAACCTTGCTGAATCTGAGAGGGACATGAAGCTCTTGCTGCAGAAAGTCAAGGATTGCCACCTTTCATAGAGATGGAAGCTGAACATTAAGAAAACAAAGATTCTTGGAGACCTGTGGTGGCCTAGTGGCAAGAAGCTGCACTGCAATCCCAGAGGCATGTGGTTCAAATCCACCAGATTCTCTGCTGAAGGAGGAGGGGCAATCTCCTCCTGTACCAGTCAGATCCGATTTGATGGTATACCCCCCAAAAAAAATAAGAAAATAAAAATTAAAAAAAAAAGAAAACAAAGATTCTCACCACTGGGCTAATTGTGAGCAACATGATACACAGTGAAGAGATTCAGATTGTTAATAGTTTCAGTTTGCTTGGCTCCACAATCAATCCTCTTGATACCAGTAGCCACGAAATCAAAACAAGAATTGCACTGGGAAAGTCTGATGTCAGAGACATATCCAGAGTACTGGAGAGCAACAATGCCAGTCTGGAGACTAATGTGGACCTGGTCCAGGCCATGGTTTTTGCAATTACTTACTATGCATCAGAAAACTGAACAATGACTACGGATGATAGAAAGAAAATTGTTGCATTTGAGCTGTGGTGCTGGAGAAGAGTATTGAATATACCACAGACTGCTAGGAGAATAAACAGGCTCATCCTAGATAGGGTGAAACCAGGCTACTTCTTGGAGGCAGGGATTCTGAAACTCCATTTGACATACTTTGGGCATGTTTCAAGGAGGCAAAAGTCCTTGGAATGGGACATCATGCTTGGGAGGTTAGAGTGACAGCACAAGAGAGAAAGACGCTTGATGAGATGAATTGGCTCAGTGACTTAGGTTATCGGTATAGGTATGGTAGGTATGTCAGAGACAATAAGGTTGACTCAAGATAGAGCAGAGTTCAGAGCTGTTATACATAGGGTCTCTTTGAGTTTCAACTGTGGCATAACACATAACAACTACACTCGACAGCACATAACAACAACAATCGGAATCATTTCAATGTAAACATACTACATGAGTTATGTGTTAATATTGAGAAGTGCATTTACTAATAGTTGAGCAACTAGCCTTTTGAGCAATGTGGCTATTGAGAGGCAGAGATAATAAAAGATGATCCCAAGTTCATGGTTATATTAAGTGTTATACCAGGAAAAAAAGAACAGCCCTGGTGGCATAGTAGTTAAAATGCTCTGACGATAACTATCGGATCAGAGGCTCAAAACCACTCGTCCTTATAGGGGAGAAAGATATGGCAATCTACTTCTGTAGATTTACAAGTTTAGAAACCCTAAGGAGAAATTTTGTTCTATTATAAAGGATCCCTCTGCACTGACATTTATTCTGCAGCAGTGAGCATTCTTGTCAATTTGGTTTGGTTTTTACACCAGGAAAGATGCATGACTCCCTGAAAAATCACAAGGCGGTATACTCTAAGGATACATTTACTATAATAAATGTGATGCCTTCAATTAGAAGAAGTAATTCTTAGAAAATTTTAGGGTAAATTAATGTGAGATTTAATAAGATTTTCATAGGAAACATCAAAAACAGGTTTTATCAGAAACATATTATAGATCTATAATGATTATAAATTGGTAAGAATGTAGATCACACTTTTAAACATACATTGCGTTTTAGTATATTATTTGCAAGTTTATTATAGCAATGGAGAGTAACAGAATTGAGGATTTATAAAAAAAAAAAAGATCACAGTAAAAAGCTTAAGAACGAGTACAACAGTTGTTCTAGATACCAGGCAACTAAGGATAACATTGTGCACTACTGATCCCCACTCAAAAAGACTACATTCTAAAGAAGAATAACATTTTTGTCAAAGAACACTATCATAGTAAAAGGGATATAATGTTCTAAAATGATGTATGAAAATTAGTATATTGTTATTTTATTTATCAAATGTATATCCATCCTGTGGGCACTAAAATAATACAAAGTTCATTATAACATATATTATGAAAAGGACATACACATAGAACACTATACATGAAAACAATGTATAGTAGATAAAGTACTTTGAAGAGTTAATGAATGATGTGTCTATTATTTTAACTCTTGGTGGTGAACAGTTTGAAAACCCCCTCTCGGATCTGTTTTGTCTTTACTCCATAGACAATAGGATTGAGCAAGGGTGGGACAAGCAGATAGAGATTGGACAGTAGTATATGCACATAAGGAGCAACATTGAAGCCAAATCTGTGTATAAAGGATGTGAAAAAAGTGAGAATATAGAACTGAAGAAAGACAAAGATGTGAGCTGTACATGTATTGAACGCCTTGAAACGTGCCTCTTTCTGTGGTAATTTAAAAACAGCCCGGAAAATAAAAGCATAGGATAGAAATATGAAGATCACATCAAATCCAAGGACAGAGAAAGCCACAAACAATCCATATGCTTTATTGACTTTGACATTTTCTGCAGCCAGTTTTACCACAGCCATGTGCTCACAGTAAGAATGAGAGATAATTGTAGTTCTGAAATGCTTCAGACGTAGCTTAATTAGAAGTGGACACATAATGATGATAACTGATGCTCTTATGGTCACCACCATAATAATGCTGATTAGTACCTTCTTGGTGAGGATAGCAGAATGTCTCAGGGGCTCACAAATAGCCACATATCGATCAAAGGCCATGGCCAGGAGAATACCAGACTCCATGCACTGGAAAGTGTGAGTGAAATACATCTGGATTAGACAGGAATCAAAGTGAATTTCCCTTGACTGCAGCCAAAAGATAGCCAGCATTTTAGGTGTAATACAAAGAGTCAGACCCAGATCAGTTGCTGCTAACACAGACAAAAAGATATACATAGGTTCATGAAGACTACGCTCAGTGCGGATAACAGTGATAAGGAGACCATTTCCAAAGACAGCCAGAATAAAAGAGATAAAGAATGGAATCCCAATCCAATGCTGCACAGATTCAAGGCCTGGAACTCCAATTAGTGTGAAGATAGAAGGCTTGAAGAAGGTGCCATTTGAAAGAGGCATGGCTGAGCAATGCTGGTAGCTTCCTCCAAACTTCAAGTCTACTTAGAAAGAATGCATAATTTATTAATATTGTCCACAGTGCAAGGTAACTATTTTGAAGACTAGTATTACTATATTGCATTCCTCTGCTACTAAACTGAACTTCAATCTGATTCATTAAGAAGAAAATTTTCAAAAGGATTTTTTAAGAAAACAAAAAAAAATCATATATTATTTAACTTATTGTAGAATGAGTATAATGGTCCAAGGGGGGAAGGGAGGGTAGAAGCAGAGGGATGAGGATGTGCGAGGTGGGAGGGAATTAATTATGGAGTTGTACAATTAGATGGGGCGGGGTGAGAGAATTGGAAGAATCTGTTCTGAAAAATAATGTATTTGAATTTTATAAATAAATTAGTATAATAAAAAAATTAAGAAAAACAAAAATAAACCATGTGTACAGACTTAAAACACTAATTGTCCTGGAGTCAATTTGGATTTGAACAATGAAAATGTAACAAATTTCATCAGTGACTCTTCCAGATCATTTATATTGCATTTTTCAATTTTATTTTCTTTATACCAGCATATTAAAAATAATGAATGAGTTGAAGCATGTTATTTTTATTTTTTAAAAGAGTATGAAAATTATTTTAAATATACAAGGATGAGTTTGGAAAAAGACCAAGTAAGGAGATTGCTCACCCTTTCTCTGCAGAGCACCTGGTGTATTCAAACTGCATGCTTTTGGGATTGTAGCACAGCTTCTTACCAGTAGGCTACATGAGTTCCTTAACTAAAATGCCTATTTTATATAGCTAAACATTTTAACTGTTTGCTGCTCTTCTTCTTCCTGTTTAATTCTAGTATCTTCTATTTGTCATTTTTTAAAAAAATAGTCATTTCTTTTGACCTTCTATAATTTTACTTTTTCAATACATCTTTTTATATATGTCTTTGTGATTATACCTCAGACATTTCTAATGGGTTCCATGGATAACTACATTAAAAAAATCTCAGCCCAGGATAAACACATATGCACACAGCATACACAGAACAGTGACTGCAGAACTAAATAAACACAAAGATAACAGCATAGTGTATATTTATTCTTGGATGTTTAAATACAAAGAACTAATGAGGGGAATAAAGTGCAAAAATACGTAGTGGTATAAGTAAAAACATTTCTGTATCATTTTTAAGCTAAAATTACTAAATGCTAAAAAGCTACAAATATATGTAAAGGATGGTAAAACAATAAATATTAAAGTTGTTAAATTTTTGAAAATAAATGACAAGGAGATGAAATCAGTGAAGTGGGGGAACGACAGCCTTTTTAACAAATGGTGTTGGCAAAATTGGAAAAATATCTGCAAAAGACTCAAG